TTTCTGTGTCAAGATTTTGGATACATACACACACACACACAAATATACACACACCTTCTGTGTGTTTTTCAAGCCACTAGAGCTGGAATTCCAAAAAAAGTCAGCCACAGCCATGTGGAATCTGGCTCCTTAACCACTAGGCAACCCGGCCAGCCCTCATATGATCTTTTCTTTCAAGGCCATTTCCATACTTGGGAATTGATGTCTCCATATTCAGATGAAAAGACAGTACTGGCTGATTTGAGAAGTAGAGAATGGGAGAGAACAGATGCTATTGGTTCCATGTAAGAGAAAATGACTCTTAGTGACTTACATAAAAAGGCTTTTTTTTTTTTCATAAAAAGAGGAAAGGTGGCTTATTTTTTCATCTAAAATTGTTCGAAGGCTACCAGCATCTCTCCCTTGAATTATAATATCCTCCTAAACAGCCTCTGCCCTTCCTCCTCCAGTCGGACTCACTCTCTTAAAACATGAGCTACATCATGTGATTGCAGTTCTAGATCCCTGCCATGGCTTCCTAGGGCTCTCAGAATAGAAGCACAAGCTTCACCATGACCTACGCGTCTCCAAGACCTGGCCTCTGGCCCTATTCTGACCTCGGCTGCTACTCTTCTGGCCCTCCCAAACTTGCCACCTGGCTTCCTTGCTGACCCTGGAGCACAGCAGGCACCCCTTTTGCATTTTCTGTTTTCTCTGTCCAGAATGCTCTTTCCCCAAGTTGGCAAATTCTGTTAACCCTTTCAAGTGTTATGTGAATGTTACCTTTCCAGTGAAGCTCACCTTGACCAACCTTCAAAACTGCAGTCCAACCCACTGATCTGGTATTCCAGCCCTCAATTTATCTGCTTTTTAAATGACATAACATGGATTCCCTCTAACTCACTATATTATTTTACTTTTTTAATATATCTGTAGTTTACTATCTGCCTTCCTCTGTTTTCCCCAGAATGTGAACTTCAAACATGCAAGAATCTTTGTCTGTTTTGTTTAGTAATTTCTCTCAAGTACCTAGAATAGTGCCTGGCATTTAAAGGGCACTCAGAAAATAAATACTGAATGCATATGTCCGTAGCTTGGTATGCTTCCCCTTCCTTAGGTTCAGTGCTTTATTTAGGAAACAAACAAATATGCAAAACAAGCCACATGCAAATCCACATCCAGAGAAGAAAAAGAGAAGTTCAAATCATAGGATATTCCAGAATGGCACACAGAAAAACTTCTTTAACATCATCTTTCCCCAACCACTTCCCTAAGTTCTCATCAAATCATTGCAGCTGCTCCTATTATCTCCAAATGTGCTATCAAATTCAGGCCTGTGGTAGCTCTTCTATTTTTTTTTTAACTCAATGTTCTCATTTATCTCCCCCCCCCCTTTTTCCCTCAACTCAATCAAACTGAAATTTGAAAGGAGAAAAGTAAAAAAAGAGCCAGGATAGATTTCGTTAGGGAGAATTTAAGCAATTTGAACACAAAGAGGCAGATACTGGACAGTTGCGAAGTTTCAGTTAGTGAGGAGAAAATGTCAAGCCAGAGATGTGCCATAACGCATTCTTAAAAGATGACCTTGATGAGTTCCTGCTATGTGAGGGTGGGACCAAATCACTGACACCTCATCTGGAATGACCCAAGTTAAGGGTGACATCTTCAATGATTTGAATAAAGTAAATATATTCCTGTATCATTTATGTAGAAATATAACACTTTACAGCTTAATATTTTGAGTTGAAAATGTCCTAGGCGAATTAGGGAATCTGCTGTTTCACACGTTGCTAACTAAAGGACAGAAGTCCTTACCCTCAAGAAATGGTGCAAGCAGAAAATGGATTCCATAATGGGTCTAGGAAGTCGTGGAGAAGAGTCCCAGGTGACTTACTTCCTCATAGCTCATCTTCCCCATAGTCATCCTAACGGATGAGAAAGACTGTGCCTTGCTTGCCAATTTAGGAACCTGGGCAACATGAACACTGAGACTGACTGACATGGTCTGGAATGTAACACAGCAAACAAAGCAAAATTTGTGTATTTCTGTGTCTGCCAAAAATTGAAATTTATGTTCTCTATTCTTCATCTTCCCTCCTGTCCTCTTACCAGAAATGCCATCTTCTATTCTTATTTATCGAATCTTCATTTGGGGTCAATTTAATTCCTTCTGTCTCCATTAGAGTATAATGTTACAATCTCAAAATGTCACTTGTACTTCCTTGGTAGCAAACAATTTAAATATAATGTCTGGAGCGAAATGGTAAAGGAGGCTGGATCCATATGGCACAGCTGACTAGGTGGTTTAGCAACTCCTCCCAGGCCCAGCAGCTTGAAACATATGACAGGTGCATGTGGGTACATGCCCAAAATCCTGAAAGGAGGAACGGAGGATAAGGGATTGCTGCTTGACCATCCACCATGGGGATGGTCATGTGTTCTTATGTGTTCTCGCTCGTGCGCTCTCTCTCTGGTGACTGTGTGTGCCCTCCAGCAAATTAAATAAATAAAGAAGTAAATACCCAGAAAACATGATGTTTGAAGTGAAATAGCAGTATAAAATCTATGCTATTCAAATGACTATATTGGCAGAAATTAATGTTATAATTAAAACCACTGAAATGGGAAAAAAAAAGACTAGTCATTAAAATATCTCAATATACTATATAACTACTACTGAAAAAATTTTCTGTATAGAAAATAATTATTAAAATATGTAGATAAATATCTAATTATAGAACAAACAACCTTGAAATCATTCACTCTCAGTTTCTCTGATTATTGCTTCCATCTGCTTTGGGCAGAAATAGTAGCTAATACATTATTAATGATGAAAAAATCAGGAGTGTATTTCTATTGAAGTTGTTCACCATTCTGTTTAAATATAAACTGTTTAGGTTATCAGGATTGGTATTTGCATATATGTAATAGAAATAAGAATTACGCTATGTCTTCAAGTCTCAATAAATGGATTAAGGCTTTAAAACAGTTATACTCTATTGTTGCCATCAACTAATTTATCATAAACATAAACGTCGTTTTATTAATATTATATGGAAACAACTTACTTCATATATTTGTAAATTCATTACATGTTTTTGAGTGATTTCCCATGAATCTCCTTTTAAACCAAGTATTTCTTAGAGAAGCGAGGTCTGTGCTTTGTTTAGGGGAAGACTGAAGTAAGAATAATTGTTTCTTTTAAAATTTAAAAAGATTTTAAAGAAGGGGTGACCCTGTACCACAGTGGCTAAGTGCTATATGTAGAAAGTTGGATTCCATTGACTACCTGAGGTTCGAATCCTAGTGCCAGATACTTGAAAAACACATCTGACACGTGTGCATGTGTGCCCAAGATTCTGATGGAGTAGAGAAACAGAGGAAAAAGGATGACAGCATGACCATGCCCACTGCAGGCCGCTTTTTCCTTTCCTGTCACCACCCCATCTCGCTAGGAAAAGTGAACATGCCCTCTGGCAATACATCAATAAGTAAAGATTTTGAAAATCTTTCATGTTTAAAAATTCAAAATTAATGAGATTATTTTTCAAAATAAGTTCGCCTTAACCCAAAAGATTTGAAAGTAGCTTAGAAAAATTATCTAAATTTTTAAAAAATTATTTTTCTGTATTCATAATAGAGCATGTTCATGCACACATGAAATAGTAGGCAAAGAGAAAGAAAGAGGGGGGGAGCGAGAGAGAGAGAGAGATGGATGAGCACCCTTCACTCTGCCCCGTTGTGTCGGGGGAATCCCCCTTCCTCCAGTCCTCCAGCCTGACAGATCTCGGGCACTTGCTTACCTGCCTGGCATGTGTTTTGCTAATGCAGCTGGGGATTTGAACTGTGATCGCCAGTGGGAGCTGACTACTCTTGAGCAGCGATAACTGCTATGCCATGGAGGCAGCCCAGACAATCATCTAAAGGCATCAGGTTAACATCACTTCACAGTTAGATGTGGTTTGCTTATGGACAAAACATCTCAAAATAACATGTTCCCATACTAGAATGAAGGGGTCTTTTAAAAATAAGTTAAGATAGTATATGCAACACTGGTTTAGCTAGTATAGGCAACACTGTCATAACAGATCATATGAAAGTGGTATCATTCCACTGTGTGAGAATTCAGTTGAAGTTTTTATGAAATGCTCCTCCTCAGACTTGCAAAAACAACACAAATTAGATTCTGTAATATTCCAGTACATGTATTTTGTAAGCAGACTCAGTTACTGTAAACAGTTTGTGTCAGTAAATTCCTATTTACCCACCAGTATTTTGTAAAGTTTCTTAGTTCATAAGAGAGTCTTTGGAGGAGACTATATGTTGAGACCCAGTCATGGCCCCATTGGAAGCAAGAGAGACAATTCTACCTAGGAACATAGGGAGCAAAATCAAAAGTAAACTGCCGGAATTTCTCCTCGCTCAGGTGCTTCCTGCAGAACTTCGTGTATAACATTCGCACTCCCTGAGGGAGGTTGATGAACTAATCTGACACCCCAGACTGTTCTATCACACACACACACACACACACACACACACGTCTATGTCCTCACACAATTGTCATCACTGTCACCAGAAATAGACCACAATAGGAACTAGCAGATACCATAATGGTTACGGACTGCCACACTACTGACTGCAGTTCGAATTTCTCGAACCCAGTGGCTTAAAACTCATTCTGGGTGCATGTTCGTACGTGTCCAAAATCCCAAGAGGAGAATGGAGGAGAAGAGACTGAGACATGGCCATTCCCCCTGAGGGATGATTTCTTGCTTTCTATCTGTTTCTCTGTATTGCTGGTAAGTGCATTTGCCCTATAGCAAAACCCTCTCCAAAAAAATTTACAAAAGAGAAAAAAGAAAAAAAAGAAAAAGGACAAAGAAATACACCACGATAGGCATTGCAAATGAAAACCCCCTCCTTTCTGTTTTTTTTTTCTTTTCTTTCCTTTGTCCTTGGAACAGTTTCCTGGTGCATTTGGAATGTTGGCCCACCTGCAGTGGGATGAAGAGGTGGCTTACCGGTCTATGATGGCGCACATGTCGATGCTGACATTCGCAAAGCTTCCCGGCTTCCTCTGTGCCACTTCGTACAGATTTACAAGCTGATCATCCACTTGAATGAGCTGCATGCACCCTTGGAATGACGGCTGGAGAACAGAGTGACTTGAGTTATTCATGTGGTTCAGAAAACCTGCAGAACAGAAGAAATGGAATGTTAAAATCAGCGTACAGCATGCTTCACTAAAATTCATAGGGGATTCTACCTGGACATAGCCATTGAATCTAACCACTGAGTTTCTTTGATCCGTCTTGATGTCGTACTTGATGTAAAGAATGAAGTCTTTTGAGAAAGTGAGAATATTGCAGGGAAAGAAGTCAAGGTTGAACCCAGGTAGATGTTTGTCTCTGGAGCCTACTGTCAGTCAAATTTTCTTTTTTGACATCTTTTCTGCTCTGTCATATCTCCCTGTCCCTCTGCTGTGGAAGACTCACTATTACGCTTCAATATCAGAAACTGCCCTCACAGATGAGGACAGAAAACTTCCCAACTTTCCCAGCTACCCAACCTCCTTCCTCTTACACCATCAATATTTGCTTCTATTTTCTTAATCCCCCAGAGGCTCTTATTCAGATACCAAGAAGTTTAACTAACTATTTTCAATTAAAGTGAATTTCTTTAATGGATCATGTCTAACTCAATCCAGAGATATGTGCATTACAAATGATTTCTCAGCTTTCAAAATCCACAGGAACATTATAAAAATTAAATTTAGGCATAAGAATCAGCGACCCTGCTCTAGCTATTCATCTCACACAAGCTACCTAATGAAGCAAAGGAGTATAAATCATAACAAATGGAACTAAGATTGAAAGAGAGTAAATAACATGACCAAAAAAACCCACAGACAACCAAACAAAAAACCTATATACTGGTGATTTTATTAGGGGATATAATATACATATATCAAGATGGAAATCAGACATCAAGAGTTCTATTGCTAAGTAACTTTAAAATAGCACGGAAAGTCAATTACATTATGACTTTTCAGTTAAAAAAAAAAAATACAATATTGTAAGCCAGACAGTGGCATGGTGGTTAAGGTCACTGGATCCCACATGGCTGACTGCTCAGTTGGTGTCCTGGACTTACTCGCTTGAAAAACATGTCAGTGTGTGTGTGTGTGTGTGTGTGTGTGTGTGTGTGTGTGTGCATGTGTGTGTGTGTGTGTGTGTGTGTGTGTGTGTACCCAAAATCCCAAAATGAGAACAGAAGAGAAAGGACTGCAGCATAGCCAGCACCTATGGGGGTGGAGGAGAGGTGCATTCTCACTTTCTCCCTTTGTGTCTTTCTCTGGCATATTCATGCATCCTCTCCAAATTAAATAATAATAATAATAATAAGAATTTCATAATGCATAGAAAATTTGTAGGCCAACAAGAAATATTTCTCAATCCCATTAAGTATCTCCAGGAAATCCCAGAAGCTTCCAGTTTTCATTGTTCCTTATACGCAATTTGCCCACTGGATAAATACAAGCTGTACTAGTTTGTTTGCTTATGAATCTGAAATTATTCACGAATTCAGTTTATCTAATATTAGGAGTGTAGCAAAAAATAAAAGATCCGGAATGGGTTTGGACAAAGATATGTCATTAAATTTAAAAAAGGAGAAGTTTCAATAACAAAAAATTGCCCAATAAGTGATTTTTCAAAATGTCCTAGTCTCTTTGACCCATAATGGTGGTTTAGTGTAATATAAAAATCCTTTTTCCCTTTAATAATGAGTTACAACATTTAAAGTCTGAGAACTGTTACTATTCACGGAGGTGTCCATTACTTTCTACCAGCACAGTACTATATAGCATGAGAAGTGGGTCAGCTCAGAGGCACAGGGCTGATGCCCTACTTGAGCGATGCTGGATCTGTATGAAGGATCATGGGTTTGCTTGTCCAGTTGACCAGTAAACACAGGGAATGCAATATCATGACCCTGGCTTGCTGGGTAGACGGGGCAGGGATCTCAGTATGAGGCCCTGTTTAGGATATTTTTTTCTTTGTCTGTATATCTCATGAAAAAAGAAATAAACTCTTTTATAAAATGGTATCTTATTTAAACTAATTTATTGACTTAAAATCTACTTCAATATCAATACATGGCTCTGTGTGTGTGTACGCATGCGTTTTTCTAAGTCACATTTTTTTTTTCATTTGCATTGATTTAGTTCCTTCAGAAAAATGCTGACCTTAGTAAGTGTGCTTTTAGACTAATTGTATGCATGGATATGATTTTGAATTGTTTAATCACGACCATATTGAAAGGGGGTTAATGTCTAAACTTAGCTGAAAGAAAACACCCAGCTGTAACTCCATTGACCGCTCTAAACAAGACTATCATTTGGTTCTGTTTTTGTGAATACTTGGGAATCTCTAAATATCCACATGAGCTTTGAAAGATTTCAGAATGAATACATCTATTTGTGAGAACAAGAACTTCTCTGAAGCAAAGCAGCTGCATAAACATGGATTACTACGAACTGGGTATAATTAAGCTCATAAAATAAGACTTCATCAGTCACTTGTAACAATGGTCTGTTTGGTCTTGACAGCTTTGAAGTTTGAATTGGCAGCTCAATGGAAAGGCAGTAGTCATGTTGTAAGCAGTTTTTGGAAAGACTCACAAGAGGTAATAAATTATTAGGATTTTAAATTGATTTTGAGGGTGATCCATTATGCAACAATGGACAATGAATAAAGAATTTAGTATTGGGAGGGAATTGTAACAAAAACTAAAACATATGGCAGTGACTTAGGGTTGGGATATACAAGGAAGTTAGGTGAACCTTAAAAAACTATCAACCTGAAGTTTGGTGGCTCTTGTAAAGGCTGTCAGTAATCGCTCGAAGGAAGGTGAGGAAAATGTTATGAGAACTGAGAAAAAATTAGATTCTCACTATGTTTTTGTAGAATGTTCAGAAACATTGTTACTTGTGATAATATGGAAGGGAAAAAGATGTGCACGATTAACTGTATAATCTAGTTAAAGACAGTCCCAGACAAAGCACTGAAGGTGCTGTCTAGTATGTACTTTCCATTTATAGTAAAAGAGAAGAAGAAGAAGAGAAAAAAGCTGAAGAAATGTTAAATATGAAAAGGATGGGATTGGTGGATTGGAAAGTAAACATTTTCTCAATTCTAGTCTTTCCAGCTAGTGAAAAATGGAAATATTAAGAAATCACTTCTAGGCAAGGTCAACTCTCAGAAAAAGACAATCAAAGATGATAAGAAGGTGTACGTGTAAAATTCACATTAATATAAGAGAAAGCTACTAGGTGGTGCACCAGAGAACAATTCAGTGAGACAAAAAATACCCTTGTAATTAGCGTATTGGTGTGCCTTGCAGGTCTTCTCTGTTCATCAACAGGGATTCTAATAACCTTAAATATATTTTTTCAGTGGGTTAGTAGAAGCCCTGGAAGGGTGGGCAGATCTATTATTATGAGATTTTAAATGTGCTTTATATTTATTTTTTTTTATTTTGCTATCTATTCATGATAGAGCATGTATGTGCATGAGAAAGAAAGCTGACAATCTGCTACTTGGTCTGGTTATATCCTGATCCTCTCTTCCAGCACATCAGAGTTGGGTGTTTGTCCATGTGCTCAGCATGTTTCAGGTTGACCAGGCCAGGGATTCCAACTATGGTCTCAATGTGAAATCCAGCTTCTCTTGAGTACTTTACTACTCTACCATGGAATTGGCCTAAAGATGTGCCTTTAAGTGAATGGAGAAAACATGAACATTAATAGATTGCTATGTAACATCACCAGCTGGTGCTGAAAGGGACAGTAACAGTACAAAATATGGAGAAGACCCACAAACTTCTATGGGAAGGCAATTGCACAGCTACAAACTACATTTTACAAAAAAGGAAGGATGACTCGGAGAGGCCAAAGAACATGGAGAGCAGAGCCAAGAGCATGGAGAATTATTTTTAGGAGATAGGAGGTATCACCAACATGTACCTGACTGGATTTCAGAACTTCTATGGACCAGTGACCTCTTGGTGCCTTTTCTTTTCCCCTTTTGATTTCTGTATGCATATTCTACCATCATATATGGGTGTGTGGGTGGCATAAAATACATTCATAGGTCTTCAATGAGAGAACTGTACTTGAGGAATTGTACCCAACACCTTCATTGTCTCTTAGAACATCTGAGGAGCTTCCTTTTAGTTTCTCTTGGGTTAGCTATTGAGAGTCTTGATTTTGAGAAGATAGTTTAATGAAATAAACTTGAGAGGGCTTTTGGTGAAAGTAAGTGTATTTTTAAAGTTAAGCCTATGTAGAGTAGTGGGTTATTACAGTCTATTCTGTTGCTAATAGCAGAAAATACTCAAGTCTAAGTAATTTAAAGAATTAGAGACTTATTCAGCTCATGGTTTGGAGAGTTAAGGTTCAGGGCCCACATCTAGTGAGAGTCTTCTTGCTGGTGGATAACATGGTAGAGGGGAGAACTTCAGCAGAGCAGAGCATGTATTTCTGTTTAGGTCTCATTCCCTCTCCTTGTGAACACAAAAGGTATCTATTATGGGAGCCCCACACTACTGATCATAATCCTAATCATTTCTCAAAGACCCTCCCTTTCAAGACCATATTGGATTAAGTTTTCACCCTGTCAGTCTCATTACAACCAATCTCAACACGTGAATTTTGGGGGATACATTCAAACCATAGCAAAGGTGACTCCTGCCAACCAACCTCCAAGAAGATCATAAATTTTCCCATTGTAGTTATGCTACTTTAAATACTTCCTAATGTTCATGGTTTCCATAGTCCCCTGCAATACTGAATCAGCACTGATATGTATGACAAATATAATGCCAGAGTCATGTCATTTTGTAACTTCCTAGACTAAGTAATAAAAAGTGCCACCTTGGTCTTTAAATCATTTACTCCCAGGAAGACAACCCCCATGCCTGATAATCCTCAAGGGCATGGAGAGGCACCTGTGGAAAGGAGCTAAGCCTACCACCAACAGCCAGAAGCTGTGAGCCTGCCCTGTGAGTGGACCATCTCTACCTGGAGTTTCTAATCCTAGTCAAGCCATCAGAGGACTATGGCTCCAGGGAACATATAATTGCATCCTCATAAGAAACATCAAGCAATAACTGCCCAGCCCAGCTGCTCGTGA